ATGCTGCTTCTGTCCTTCCCTGCCTTCCCTTGCCCTGTCTCTCCTCCTCTCCTCTCCTCTCCTCTCTCAGAATCTCTGCGTCTCCTGCTTCTCTGCTGTTTCCTTCTGCTCTTTCTCTTATTCCCTGCCTACAACATCCTCATCACACTGGTCCCTATGGGTCCTGCTTAGCCTCTCTAGAGGCTTTTAAAGCTAAAAGGGCTGCCGTACCCTGAACTAAGGCACTGCTGGTGTTTTGGAAGTATAATATCATGCCCAGAATCATTCCAATCATTCCAATAATCCAATATGATTCCAATAAGATTGATCAAACAGCAAACAGTGAGACACAAGAAGCTGAGAAATCCTTTAGGAATCTCCTCACCATCAGCTAGCCGTCACAAACCATTCCCTATCCTCCCTGTTCTACTGCTTGAGGTAACTATCTCCTCTCTACTACAGAACAGAATAACTGAAGGGCTCTATTACTGGACTTCCAATTCCCAAAGCAAGGTCACATGCCGCAGGGGCAGCTGCCTGGGAGCAGAGGAAAGGGTGCCTCGGCAAAAGTCAGACCGATAACGGTAGGATCCTCTTTCGATAGGTTCTTCGGAGGGTGGGAGAAATCATTCCATAGATGACGGGCCCTTACACACCAAACCCTTCATGCCTGGCATTATGGCTGAGTGATGAAACTCAGAGTCCAGGTGATCTTGCCACACATGGGTCAACAATACTCTGTAGCCTGATGAGTTCTGGTTTCCCCACACTCTCAAGCAAAACCTACCATCCACTTTCTTCTGAGAAGAACAAAATCTCAGATGTGGTATTCCAAAGAAACACAATTTCAAAGTTGGAAGGGGCTCAGCAGGCAATCTAGTTCAAACTGTGTCTGAACATGAATCCTCTGTACAACATACATGGTAAGTGGCCATCTGATCTTTGTTTGAACACCTTTAATGAGAGGGAGCCCACAACCTCCCAAAGCAGCCTCTTCCATTTTATAACAGGTTTAATTGTTGGGAAAGTTTACCTCATACCATGTCTAAATTTGCCTCTTAGTAAATTCAAACTAATGCTCCTAGTTCTGCCTTCTGGGGCCAAACAGAACACATTTAATATCTTTTCTACATCACAGCCTTTCTTTCTGACACTTGAAGACAGCTATCCTATTTCTAGCTAAGTCTTCTCTTTTCTTTCTTTTTTTGCTACACAATGGGGTTAAGTGACTTGCCCAGGGTCACACAGCTAGTGTCAAGTGTCTGAGGCTGGATTTGAACGCAGGTCCTCCTGACTCCAGGGCTGGTGCTCTATTCACTGCACCACCTACCTGTCCCTAACTCTTCTCTTTTCCAGGGAAATCATCTTCAACTCTTTCAGTGGATTCTCATATGGCAGGATGTTAAGGCACTTGCCAACACAGTCACTCTCTTCTGGACATTCTCCAGGGTGCCAATATCCTTTCTCAAATGGGGTACATAGAACTTAGCACAACACACTAGATAAGAGTCTGATCAGAGAGGTATGGGGCAGAACTATCACCTCCCTTGTGATCACTTCTCCTCAATGCAGCCTAAGATTGCATTCACTTTTTCTGGATTTTTATTACACTGTTGACATATCAAACTTACAATCAACTAACCCAGATTTTCCTAGATGGACTATTTTCTAGTCAAGCCTTCCCATCTTGTACTTGTGAAGTTGCCTTTTTGAACCCTAGTGTAAGACTTTATATTTATTGGTATTAATTTTAAATAGCTGACATTTATATAGTGCTTTAAGGTGCTCAGACCAATTTACACATTTTATTTGATCTTCAAAACAACTCCTATGAGAGGTACTATTATTATTATTATTATTTCCATTTTATAGAAGAGGAAACTGAGGCTGACTTGCTCAAGGTCAGGGACTTGCCTGAGGTCACATAGTTAAGTATCTGAGGCAGGATTTTAAGCCTGGTCTTCTTAACTCCTCCAAGTCAAACACCTTTCCCACCTTCGTGCTGCTTTAATTCTATTAGATTCATTCCAGCGTTCTAGTCTCTAAAGATCTTTTGGATTCTGACTCCACCATTCAATATGTGATAACTTGCCCTCCTAGCTTTGTATTCTACAAATTTTATAAGCATGCCAAATATTCCTTTATCCAAATCAGTGACAAACATTTTCAACTGCAGGGGCCAACCATACGTCCTTGAGGCACTTCACTAGAGACCCCCATTTCAAAATTACACTGAATCATTATGATTAGTCTTTGTGTCCAGTCATTCGGTTAATTCCAAATCTACCTAAAGGTGCTATCATCTAATCCACATCTCTCCAACTTTTCCCAGGAGACCTTGTCAAATTCTTTGCCAAAGCCTAGTGGAGTAACCTTGTTTAAAAAAGAAAAGAAAAGGAAAGGAGATGCTTGGCATGTGATCTATTCTTGAAGTTATGGTGACTTACTGATCACCATATACTTTTCCGTAAGTTTACTAATCATCCCCTTAATAAAACATACTAGAATTTTGTCAGGAATTGAAGTCAGCCTCAATAACCTAGAGTTTACAGATAGATCTCTTCCCTTCCCCCTACTTTTTTTTTTTTTAAAATCAGGATATCATTTGCCTTTCTTCAGTCCTGTAGTACCTCCCTCCCATGACCTTTTCAAGATGGAGTCACCAATCATATCCTCCAGTTTTTTTTCATCCCCTGGGATGTAGTTCCTTTGGGCCTTAATCTATACTTATGTTGGGGCCAATTTCCTATTAGCCATCTTTGTTTTAACCTTTCCAGTCCGAAGATCACCGTCCTGGGCATAGAATACACAAGGAAAGTAAGAGCTGAACAAGTCTGCCTTTTTTCTATTATCATAGTCTCATCTTGTTGAACCACAGTCTTCGTCTTTGATTTTCCTCTCTCTCTCCAATACAGCTTTAAAAGAAAAACAAAACCTACCTTTTGTCAAAGCCGAGCCCATTCCAGGCCTCATTTCAAGTCAGCCATGAATGCCCAAGACGCACGAGAGCCAGGTTACATTGGTCTTGGGTCAGGAGGAGAGTGAAGCTGCCCACACCCACAGGTCTCACAAGTCAAATTATCTCCCCAGACTCCCTTCTCAGCACAATAACAAAGTCATAGGCCAACTGAGAGGATTCTAATTGCTTTGCTGCCAGGCTTCCTAAGTGGTTTCTACCTTGGCCAAAGCCCTTCAGTCACACCAGGTGCCCATGCTCTCCCCTCGGGGCTTTGCCTGACACTGCATCCTGATTCCTCAAAGCTCTTTTTCTTGGCAATTAGTTTGACTTACCAACGGGGTGGCAATATGACCATCTGAAATTAGTCATTAAGTACCATCAGAAAAAAAAAAAACACAAAACAAAACAAAAAAGCCTTTTGATGTTTGAGCGATGGTAAGGAAAGAATAACCAAGCTTAGTGGCTCATTCTGATTCCAACAGCTGTTGGTGTTAAATCCCACAACTCTTTCTGAAACAGCCCTACCTGATATAGTCACTGCAATGATCAGCTTTTTAGGGAACGATGTTTAGGCTGCAGAGGAGCAAAACTGCACCTGCCAAACAGTCAGAGGAACAGGGCAGGCTCCGTCACTGGAGGTTCCTGTTAAAACCAATTTCCCAGTGATTGGCAGTCAGGTCACTTCTTGTCCAGGATGTTTATGGGAGAGACTTTGGGGACTCACAGTGGACTTCACCCAGAGAGCAGACCAGCCATTGCACTGAGTTCTGGCAGACATGCTTTGGGCCTAAGGGGATAGCTGGTTTAAGCCCAGTGGAAATTAAGCAGCCAGCCTCACGAAAAATCAGTCACTGGACTTCATGAAAAGCACACTCTGCAGCTCCCTTTGGCTTCCCTTCGGTTTTGTTTCCATGGAAATGTGAGTCAGGGTGTGAGGAGGGATTCTGAGCATGTGCGTTGCCACAGATGCTTCTGTTCTCTCAGATTCATCCCCGTAAGAGGAGGTGGCAGTGGTGACCAGGAGGGGGAAAGCGGAATCCAATGCAGACTTTGCAGTCAAAACAACTCTGCTGCAGCTTCATGACTTGAAAATGAATGATTGGCAGGGCTTGGCAATTATTACATGGGCTGACTTTTAGGGAAATTTAAAGACCCCCATCCTGAAGGCTGAGGGTTGGCTGCCTAAAATGACCTTGAGGCCACTCCATCCTAAATTTCTTTTGATCTCATGATTCTGTTTCTGATTCCATGTGACTGGAGATTGGGGAGATTAGGGGACTAAATCAGGTTTCCCCCATAATCCCCAGGGGTTAAGGGAAGACATTACATGCCTGAGGTGAGTTGTGGGCACCTGAAAGGAAAAGCCCTAGAGGAACTCAAAGCTGACCTTTCAGACAGGGAAATCAACACCGAACATTCAGTCCAGATAAAAAAGTAAACATGCTGCTTGTATCTATTATGAATAACATGAGGGTCTGTCCCTCAGCTTCCCTGACATGCAGAATTGCTACGCCTTTTGGAAAGTGGCACCTGAGCCAGCTCAGCACCTCAGGCATTTCTTTATGACTCTGTCAAAGCTCTGAGCCAAAGGAAGAAAAGATGGGCACCTACTGAAAACTACAATGTGGTGAAATGACAAAGGCAAAGTCCCATCCTATGGCCTCAAATACCAGCACCCAAGAAGACAGAGAGAGAAAAGTGAGGAAGGGGCAGAAGTGGCAGAGATGGAAGAGGCTGTAGTGAGGAAGAGGACGGGGGCGGAAGAAGCAAGAGAGAGAGAAGAGTCAGAGGAAGGAAAGAGGAAGCAGGGGGAAGGAAGGACAAAGGAAAAGCTAAAAAGGAGGAAACAACCAGGGTAATGTCCAAGGCAAAGCTGAAAGACTGAAAAAAAAAAAAAAAAAAGGGTCTTGAGAAGGTTACACCAAACTCTGGCCTGTCTCTAGGGAGATGGAAGAACTGAGAAACTCCAGCAGAGTTTCTGGGGCCCTGGAGTCCCCACTGAGGATGCTCCCCTCCCCTGTCTAGCCCACAGCCCCCTGGCTGCCCCCCACCCCATACTTGCCTCCTGGCAGAAGGTAACGATGTTTTCCCACAGAGCCTTGGCCTCGCCTTCGTCCGTCTGTCTCCGCTTCTCCACGTGCATGCTCTCCCTGCGCGTCAGGGGCTTGGCTCCTTTGCGCTGGGTCACGCAGCCCTGTGGGGTGTGGCAGGCAGCACAGTTCTTGGCCTTCACCTCGTTGAGGAGGGTGCAGGCCGGGCAGGCCCACTCAGGGAGCGGAGGGGGCTGTGAGGGGAAGAGCCGGGCGGCCTTATGAGCAGAGGGGGCCCGGCTACAGCAGCAGTCCCCAGGCTTGTCGGCGCTGCAGTCTGGGCAGCGGGCAGCCGGCTCCGCTGCGCAGGCCCCGCTGCCGTGCTCCTGGAAGCCATGCAGCTTGGAGGAGCCACAGACCTTGCACTTCTGGGCCACGGTGGGGTTCTTGAGGGTGCATCTGGCGCACGACCAGGTGGTGAAGTCAGGGCTGGAGGGGCTAGCAGGGGTGAACCGGACAGTGTCCCCAGTCAGGTCAATGACGTCACTGCCCTGAAGGGCACCACAGTTCTCGCACCTAGAGGTGCCTGAAGGATTACGCAGGGAGCAGGCGCTACAGCTCCAAAGAGGTGGGCTGGCTTCTGCCTCCTCCTCCAGCACGCTCAGCCTCTTCGCAGACAGGATTTCTTGGAAGCGGGTGGTGGTGGGTGCTCGGACTTGCCCCTGGGGGGATCCCTTGGGGCCAGGGGTTGCTGTGGGCTGGGAAGCCTCAGGCACCGGTGGCTGTAGCTGGGGAGGCACCTCCCGGCGGCTTCTAGGGACTGGATTGTTCTGCAGGGTAGGGGAAAAGGGACTGAATGGCGGCATTTTGGGGAGCTCTTGCTCTGCAGCGGCTGGATCTTGGTTAGCTGAGGTGGGGTCAGCCTCAGGGAGATCTGTGGGCAGGCTGGGTTGTGGAGTGGAAGGGGCAACATGGAAGCCGGCAGGAGTGATGACCTCAGGGACCACCAGGGCCTCTGGGGGGATCTTGGGCAGCGAGAGTTTTCGTGGGCCTCCGCAGGCAGAGCAGGAGTTGGCGACGGGAGTGTTGTGGAGGGTGCATCGCTGACAGGCCCACCCGTTCTGTGGCTCCACTTCCTCAGGGCTTTTTCCTCCTGATTCGCCAGCCTCCACCTTTAGCACTGCCTCCTCTTTGCAGCTCCCCTTGGGCTCCACTAAGATTGTGGGGGGTTTAGGGAGTACCCCATTGATGACGGGTAGTGGGGACGTTCCTGGCAGAGCGTCTGGAGTAAAGCCGCATACCTCGCAGTTCTCTTTGCCCAGAAAGTTTCTGAAGGTGCAGCGGGCACAGGGCCATTTCTGCTCTTCCACGCTGAGCCTCAGTATGTGGTTAAGGTCAGGCTTCTGTCGGGGGGCCTCACAGATGGAACACTGGCGTTGGCCGGCAGGGTTCAGGAAAGTGCACCGGGTACAGGACCACTCCCGGACTGCGGCCATAGAACCAGGCGAATGGGTGTGGCTGCAAAAGAAGGGACAGGTGTCATTTCCAGCCCGTAAGTGTCTGGTGTGAATGTGAAGGACTTAGGTCCCGGCCTATTGCTGCCCTCCAATCACAAGATGCTGAGGGTATGGGAATCCACATGTGTCCAAGTTGTCCTCAACTCAGTTCATGCTTTAGGAATGGGAAAGTTGAGGAGACCTGACTCACATCAGCAGGAAGACAGGGACCAATAAGATGAAGAGAACCGGGGGAAGTTTGCCCTCATGCTGCTCGGTACCCAAGGGAAACTCTAAGGTCAACAAGCAGAAGGGGAGAGGCAGGTCAACCTAAGGAAAAGCCTCCAGTCTAAAAGCAGAACAGGCTGCTTCAATGAGACTGTGATTCCCTGGTCACTGGAGGTCTTCAAGAATCAATTAATTTGCAGGCATTTATTAAGTGCTTACTAGATATCAGGATTGTTGAAAAGATGAATGATCATTTTCCAGGTATAGGGGGAGGAGAAGGGAGATTACTGACTAAATGATTTCTAAGTTCCCTTCCAACTTTGTGATTAAATTGTTTGACTCTACTAAGAATCAATTCAACTACCCATTTTCCTCCACCTCAGACACTTACTAGCTGTTTGAACCTGAACAAGTCACAACCTCTCTGTGCCTCAGTTTCCTCATCTGTAAAATGAGGGAGTTGAATTTGACGGCCTCTATGGTCCCTTCTAGCTATACATCTATGATTTTCCCACTCTTGAGAAGCCGTATAATTGTTCTAAAGCTACCAGGGGCTGAAGAGCATTTCCACACTCTCACCCGAGGTCAATCAGCCTCACCAAAGTTGCAGTCATTTGTTCTTTCTCTAGTATCCTCACTTCCTTTGCCCCTGAAGAAAGTCTATGATGCCCTCACTGTGGGTCCTAGCACGTTTTTCTAGAGGTGATAGAGATAGGAAAAAGGAAGGTCCTGTGCCTGACTCACAGACCAAAGTACATTGAAGCAATGAGCAGAAGGTGAATTTGTGTAGGAATAGGCAAAGAAAGGGGGAGACATCAAAGAGAAAGTACAACTAGAGAAACCCAAAGTGGGGCAACAAGAAAGGAAAAAGAAAAAAAAAAAGGAAAAGAGGAGTCAGAGAAAGAGATAGGGGTGCCATAGCTGCCACCCTGAGGAGAAGCCCATTCCTCCCATTCCTACACATATGTTCTTGCTTGATGCTTCACTGAAGGCCAAGAGGTTTCTAACCTGGCCTTTCCCAGTTCCTTCTTACTCAAACCCGTGCCCCAGGGGACAACTTCAAGGTTTCTACCTGGGTGAGCTGGGTGACTACAATGTCACAACCAACCCCAGAGTCACAAGGATAATGTCAATAATTTTACATTTAAAAACTGATTTCCTCAGAACAAACCAATGAAGCAGGAAAAGTGAAAGTATTTCCTCCCACTTTACAAATAAAGAAACTGAGACTCAGTAAGGTGAAATAATTTACCCAAGGTCATACAATAAGTGGCGGAGCTAAAGCTCAAACCTAGGTCTTCTAACTCCGTATTCTGTGCTCTTTGCATCAAATCGTGCTGCCTTTCTCGGATTCTGCTGGTGTCCCATTCCACTTTTCTCCTCCTCCTTTGTTTTTCTTTCCCTGGATCTTCCCACTGACATGGCAGAGTGGAAAGAGCACTGGATTTGGAGTCAGAGTATGTGGGTTTGAATCCTGATTTAACTACTTATTGCCTGCGTGGCATTGGGCGAGTTACTTAATGTCTCTGGGCCTCGCTTTCCATGTATAAAATAAGGACATTGGGCTAGATGAATTCTGAGGTCCTTGTCAATGATATGTCCCATGAACGCCCCCCTGGGCAGGGGATATGTCTGATTCTGTATTCTACACAGCAGTTAGCTGACTACTGATGTTCAACAAATGTTTAACTATAAACAAAAACAACACAACAGCAAAAGTAATGACCTCCTGGCTGGTTCTGCTTTTCTTGGCAGGGTAATATTCCTGCTGCACCAACACGACAAAGCCCAACTGTCACTGCACTGTCCCCAAAGAACGAAGCTCTCAACACAATCCTTTCCCCTCTCTGTGTCTCAGTTTTCTCATCAGTAAAATGAGTAAGTTGAACTAGATAATTTCTAAGGTCCCTTCTAGCTTTGATCTTCTACAGTCATGGCCAGCTCTGACATTCTATGGCCAAAGGTCATGGACAGCTCTAAGAGTTAGAGTCTAAGGTACCTTGCTCCATATCCACTTTTGTAAAATAGGAAATGCAGAATCCTGAAGTCAGAGAGCACACAGCAGAAAAAATGACATGTAGGACCACTTGCAAATGAGGCACGTCAAATATATTTCAGAATGCCTTTCATTCAAAAAGAGGTTGAGTGGGGCACGTAAAAAGGATGATGAAATGTTCAGCCTAAAGACTGGATCTCATAAGACCACAAACAGCTAACTGGGAATGGACAGAAGACTTGATGGAGTGAACCAGTGGTATGGCTATTTGAACAGAGATAGAAATGTCCAGTGTGGTATCAGTACTGGTCACATCATAACAAAGAGATTTTATCACGTCCTCTTTCCAAACCTGGAACATAATGGAGTTTGTATGGTTCTATTCTGATCCTTATCACAGAGTGTGTAGAAATTTTAGTAATTTAGGGATCCAGGATTTCATTGTTGTGGGTATTGCCTGAACTTCTGCAGACTGTAAGCTATCTATAATATTGGAGATAGTCTTTGATAACTGTTTGATAATGTTGTGGCAGAAGAATCTCATTGTCCCAATGGTGCATTTGGGAACGAACTTAGACTAGTCCTCAAATGACTGACACACTATTTACTGCCCAATCTGTACCCTGAGCTTTTCCAGAACTAGTGTTCCATTGGCATAGCCTTTAAGAACCCACGATTGCCTTTATACCACGATGAAGCAAGGGAATAAGACTTTAATGGACGGGAGTGACAAAATGGATTTTTAATTTTTCAATAATACGCACTTCTTTAGAGAGAGATTGAGAGAGACAAATGAGGGTTCACTCCTTGTAGAAATATAAAATAAAAATATTTTAAGACTCAGTTCCTTATATGAGCCCATTTACTGAGTATATATATATTTCAAGAGTGCTTCTTAACTGGGCAAACTTGGAAAAACTGATTAGTCTCTTCTTCAGGACAGAATGAGGGAAAACAAAATTCACCACTTCTATTCTCTCCAAGAACACAAGTATGCTGCTTAGCAACCCCATAGGAAGGCTACTCACTTCAAGTACTTCTGGTTAGTGGAACCAAAGAATTTCCTTTATTTCTTGGCACTTGAAACAAATATTCAAAGTAAAGAAAATCCCCTGGCCAGTGACCAGTGTTATTATTGTGATTACTCTGGATGCTGGCTTTTTATATGCCTTTGTGACTTGAGGTATTGGCCACTCACACAATAAACAATATATAGTCTACTGCAAAAATTCTGATCTAAATCACAACTCCACGCTAATGGGGAATGAGCTCTGATGAAGCTGTGGAGTGGGAGAATTACCACTGTCAAAGACGCAGAAAAGATTCTCCCACTCTCCACTTCTTCCACCAGAGAGAAGACTGAAAGGGAATATGAAGAGAATGGGTTGGCATGGGGGACAAGGTCAGTAGAGCTGAATATATGGGAGAATGAGTTGAAAAAGCTATGGGCAAAGGATAGGGAACTATTATAGTCCTAGGGTCAAGGAATGGCTACAAGGGAGCAGATAGACATGAAAGCCCAGAGATATATGATGAGGCAGGAACTCTTAGAGATAGTAGATCTATTGTAAAATAAAAAGAGAATTATTATTAGGGAAACCAGACTTGCCTATCACCTAGAAGTGGTAAGCAGGATGAATCTCAGAGTTGGGAAGGACCTCAGAAGAGTACAACCTGTATCCTCTACCACATCCAGCCTCACAAGAAAGTTCATTCCCTCTCAAGGTTCTTGGAACATTTGATTCATACAGGACACAGAGGAAGATCATCATAGCCTCTGTTCAGTGACCCACTTTAACATCAAGAAGGCATAAAATGGAGATATGTATATTTATCAAAGGTATTTGCTTCTGTCATGAATGATGTCTTACAAACATCCAAAAGGAAGAGGATGATGACCCTTACGTGACTTTTAGATCTTCTTGTTTGTGAATACTGTTCGGATGGCACTGAGCTCCAGAACATGAAAGGATCCCCATGATGAAATATAAGATTACCCAATAATCTATATAGAACCAATTGAATGGATGTAAAATGCCTATTGACTAAATTGTGACATACCTATGAGCGGTCAGCTTGTTGAATCAAGACATCAGTGCATAGCTGGGCAGCAGACAGATGCATTACAGATAATCAATGAACTGAACAGCAGAAAGAGAGTAGGCTAGCATTTAGGAAATTGCACAGTACTTATAATAATTATGTGTGTACGTGTAAAACATGGTACTACAGAATATTTTCAGTGATCGCCTACAATCCACAAATGGAATGAGGGATTTTTTTTTTCCTCCAGGATCTATAATTTCATTGGTGCAGAGAGCACCCAAGGGGGAAACTTATCACTACCAATGGCAACTGTTCTAGAGTTTGTAGCCTTAATGGAATTACCTAGGGGTTACTGAGAGGTAGAATGACTTGCTTCAAGTCATAGAACTAGCATGTCAAAGATGGCCTAGAACCTGGGTCTTCTTGACTTTGAGGCCTACTCTGTAACCACTGTGCTATATTGCCTCTCATGTCTAAGTGATATATCATCTAGGTCTAAAAAATGTGCAGTTAGAAAAGGAGGTGAGACAGTCATGAAATACAAGTGAAGGATAACGGATGTCTAGCCCAAATGCTCCATTTGTCAAATGACAAAAGATGTAGAAAAAAACCTCTGATACATAAGGTGGTTGGTTTCTCGCTGCAGGATCTATGAAACAACAAAAGACAAACATCACATGAGAGAAGAAGGCATGGATGAGCTGCAATCTGAACTAGTGAAAGAAGTGCACATTGGTGAGGTCACAGCCACT